TTATAACGCGTTAAAAAAATATATTAACGGTGAATCAGATCCCTATAAATTATGAAAATATGTTATTCTTTTTTTGAATTCTTGAAATTTATGTTAATTCATTGTGTTATTTAGGTGGTACTTTAGATAAATTGTAGAGGATAATTTTTACTTATTTTAGATATTATATATGATATAATGATGATATAATAATTTTATATTTAACTCAGTAAAGTAGATATCACTTAAGACTTATGAAATCTTGAAGGAATTTGATGAGATAAATTACTAATATATTTTTTGTCAGTTTAATCCTACTAGATAGAAATTTTGTTATACAATAAACTTTTATAAAAATGAATATTTTATTAAAATTTTCTGTTTTGAATGATATTATGTATGTTTTATAGCTCTACGTTCATTATAAGTATTTGTTTTCAACTTTTTTAAATATCAATACCGTGCTGAAAAAATTATAGGAGAAGTTTTAATATCAGCAAAAGATGTTTTAGTATCAATAACAGCTTTGTGGAAACACCACAATTTTCCAAGCTGAGTTATATGCTACTGAAATCTGTATGCATCTGCTGATAGAGCGGTAATACACCGGAAATACAATAAACAGATTTTCCGATAGTCAAGCATTGAGAGCAATCGAAACAACGAATAAAAAAGTCAAAACAAACTACTCAATTTACTAAAATATAGGAACAAAAAACTTTGGTATCGCTGATATGGATACCGCGACATGTCGGCCTAAAGAAAAACGAACATGCTGACTCCTAGGTATAGGTACGTTATTCGTGGATGCACAACCGACACTTAACGTTTTAAAAAATCTCGCAAGAGACCAGCTCGGTAAAATGATTATGCCCCTGATGTTTCAAGGCTGGAATGACAGTCTCGAAAACTTGGCAGAGCCATCCAAACGCTGAACAGGATGACTTTTAAAGCTGGCAGAAATGTTTTGCGCATGCTCACTGCAGACTGATATTACACATGCAGAGGATGGGACTGGTGGAGGACGCTGAATGCCGATTCTGTATGGAATGTGACGGAACTATGAAGCACATTATACCGGGTGCGTCTCAAAAGTGGCTCACCCCTATAATTTTTTTATTTTTCAGATAAAAAAAACGAGATTTGGTATGTTAGTAAATGACATAAATTGGGATTAATTGACGTATTCAATTCGGTATTTTTTTACTTTATTCGATAGAAAATAACACTCTCAATAGAATGACATATCATATGTCAACTTTTGACATTCTCGCATATGGTTTATTTGAAATTATAACTTGCGGTTCGTAATGAAAATTTGACTTGAAATACCAAGTGTGTGATATCAAATTATTCGTAAATAAATGCTTTTTCCAAATATGCTAATGAGCCACCTTGTTCTATTTGAAAAAATTAAGATATGATTAAAAATACGATTTGAGAATTTTTTAACCGGCCACGACAAGACACTAAAAACACTAGACGATCAAATCTATTTTTCCAAGGCTCCTTGATTAAGAATTAGTATTTTTAACATAGCCATGGTACTCTAGATTGAGATTTAAAATACGATTTTTTATTAAGCAAGAATGTCAAAAGTTAACATATGATACGTCATTCTATTCAGAATATCATTTTCTATCGAATAAAGTAAAAATATACCGGGAGTGCCATTTAAAAATTAAAAGTTGTAGTCATTTCCGGTGAAACAGGAAGTGACCAAAAACAATTGAAAACGGCAATCAATCCTAATTTATGTCATATACTAACATACCAAATCTCGTTTTTTTTTATCTCAAAAAATAAAAAAGTTATAGGGGTGAGCCACTTTTGAGATGCACCCGGTATATACCTGCCCCGACAAGTTGCAGTCATTTCCGGTGAAACAGGAAGTGACCAAAAACAATTGAAAACGGCAATCAATCCTAATTTATGTCATATACTAACATACCAAATCTCGTTTTTTTATCTCAAAAAATAAAAAAGTTATTTATTTTTATAGTTAGGGGTGAGCCACTTTTGAGACGTACCCGGTGTATACCTGCCCCGACAATTTTTTATAAAAAAAATAGTTTGTAGAACTGTGTACTCGCGGCAGCAGTGGAGGGTCCCACCTGGGACCCACTCTTAGTAAATACAGTACAATAGTATCAATAATTTTTAAAATAAGTTTTAGTTTTGCAATATTAAATATGCATATAGATACTAGAGAAAAAAATAGATTTGAAGTCGGTTCGGATTTGAAGGCATATTATTTAATAAGTTTTATATTCGTATTTGACGCTAAATATGTCAAAAATATAATACAATACCAGTCTCGTAAAGTATTTTCTGAATTAAAATTCATAACCCCCGGTATTATATGTACAGGGTGGGTCAAATTCGACGCTTTTAAATGGAAACACCCTTTTCTATAGGAGATAGACAAAAACTAATATCGGTGTCTGGAGCTAAATTTTCATCAAAAACATGATGGTGAAAACCGCACATCAATATCTGTTACCGTTTCGGAGTTACGGGGTGTTTTTCAAAAATGTGCATTTTTAACAAATCGCTGTAACTTTTTTGCCATGGAAAATTTTGTATTTCTATGAAAACATTTCCAAGGCACCTTTTTACGTAGAATTTAATGGTTTAAGTATAATTTTTTTAAAATTAATAATTTAAGAGTTATCAACAGAAAAATTGATTTTTTATTTGGGACACCCTCTATATTCTTAATTAACTGAAAAGAATTTAAAATTACCTTTCCAAAAATATAGCACACTTGATATTTTGTTATAATCCCCTTCGAAATACAGAATTTTTAAAAGTTCGCCACTTTTAACTAGTAGGCTTTGGACACCCTATTGATGATATGCCCTTAATGGAACTCGAAAACATATTTTCCAGCAAAACGACGCACCGCCTCTGAACGCTGAAGTTATCAGCAAATTTTTGCAGCCAATTTCAAGAATAATTGAATAGCTAACCAAGATCCCAGCCGTTGGCCCTCGAGGCCGCCTTGCTTAGTGCCCATGGATCTAATTCTATGGATATATTTACGGAAGAATAAAGGTTCATTATTCTTCCGTATAATCTAGACAAGAATTAGAAATACTTAGCAGTTATGAGAGGGTAACTTTCACCCCCACTGAGTTGAATTCCGCGAGAAATGTTCAAAAACTGTCCCGTCTGTCCATAACAGAAGACGGTTGATATGTTGAACACCTGTAGCAAAATCTCATGTCTTGGTTTGCTATTTATTTTTATTGTTATTAGATATAGGTGAAATGTGTCGATGTTGGGTAAATATATTTTAAATTGTTATATAGATTTTTTTTGCATTACAGCCGGTGCCCTTCAAAGCCTACTTATTTAAAGCGAGCGAATTTTTATAAACTCTATATCTCGAAGAGGAATAGAGCAAAACATCAAGTGTGTTATATTTTTGGAAAGGTAATTTTAAATTCTTTTCAATAAATTAAAAATATACAGAGTGTCCCATATAAAAAATCAAATTTTCTGTTAATAATTCTTAAATTATTAATTTAAAAAAAAAATATACTGAAACCATTAAATTCTACTTAAAAAGGTGCTTTGGAAATGTTTTCATAAAAATACAAAATTTTCCATAGCAAAAAAGTTACAGCGATTTGTTAAAAATGCATATTTTTGAAAAACACCCCGTAACTCCGAAACGGTAACAGATATTGATGTGCGGTTTTCACCATCATGTTTTTGATAAAAATTGAGCTCTAGACACCGATATTAGTTTTCATCTATCTACTATAGAAAAGAGTGTTTCCCTTTAAAAGCGTCGAATTTGACCCACTCTGTACATTTTATTTCTCAGCAGAGAGGCATCAAAATGACAGTAATAAGTATATTTATCAATAGGCTTGGTGCATTTCAGTTGATTTTACAAATTCCGACCGCAGCGCTCGATACGGAAGAAATTAGAAGGCCCGACTAAAATATTTCACGCAGTCCCGTTACCGTTCATGTCGATCGCATTGAAATAATATTAAAATCGTGGCTTTGTCATAATATTTAATTGCCTCTCTACATATACTCATAAACATTTTCGTTTCTACACTTTCCGTTTTCTTATAATCAACCGAGGCGAATGGGGTGCGCCACCCTGTATTATGAGAGGATAGAATATAATTTGTAATAATAATGGTATATATTTTTTAATCAACTACTGCTTCATTTTTTTCACAAACATCTTCTAAAATTATAATTATGTACTAATTATAATTATGTACTATTTAAAAGTTATCTTCCCACTAGTAAAACCGGTGCGTAAAACTATGCTCGCTACCATAGTTGAACTCATCTAAAAGTTTTATTAGCTTGAACAATAAATTATAATACAAGTTAGACATTCTGAAGAAATAAAAAATATTTTTTTTTATTTTTTAAAAATGCATTTTCTACGAAAACTTGTAGAGATGGGTAAAAAATGGTATAATACAATTTTATAGACAATTACATTGTTTCATTTAAATTAAACAAGTTATTGCCGTTTAAAGCTAGTAATTATTTCACATAAATTTTTTGACACTCTGTATAAGGTTGTAAAATTTGTATTATTGCAACACAATATTTGATCAATAAATAATCTTCAATAAATATTTAGTATTAAAAACTTTCATACCCTTGGAGAAATGAAAATTTTGGAGCCTTAAAATTTTTACTGCAATTTAAATGTGATAAACCTTAATGAAATTTACCTTTATTTCAATCGTAGAATCCAAAAATATAATAATATATAGGGTGTTCCATTTAAAAATAAAACTATAATATTTTTAACTTATTTGGGACACTCTGTATCTAGTAAAAATATTTTTAAATTGTAGCTCTAATAGTCCTTCAACGAACCCAAAATTTACAATTTGTAAAAATCTAATCGTTTAGCTACAATACTCCGTGTCGTATGTGGTGAACAATCCTGTATACATAGTCAGTTAACTATGTTTTAATAGAGTGTGGTTTAGCATGTACCTGTAAATTAAATTTAAATTATAAAAACTTACCCAGCATCCTGAGCTTCGTGCGCTCTAATTATTGAAAGAAGATTATTGTTTTGTAGGAAGTCGCAACAGGCAGCGTAGCTGTAAATAATAAATTATTTATGAAATGTTACTCAAATAAATTCTAAATAATAATATGTTACCTGTAAAAATATGAGCAGCCTCTTACTGAGTTGTGTGAAAAGTGTTCAGCGTTGTTTTCGTTACCGAAGTCTTCTAAGGGATCTGACCAGAGGAGGTCACACATTGGACCAAAGGCGGGAGGTTCTTTAAATCGGTCTAACTGTAAAAAAAGAGAACATTTTTATTCCATTATTTATAATAAACCTAGTGATCATTTACAGAAAAAAAGACTACCAAAAAACTTGTTATGTATCTGTCAAAAATATTATTAGTATTTTCTTTAAGAATTTCGTATTCTAAATATTTTAGTATAATTTCCAGTAAGATTCTCCACGCTAGATCCTACGTAAATAATAGTAGGTCCATGAACGGGTCGTTTGGCGGTCGACGCGTAGTCGAAGTGATTGATATTATTATTTACATACGAAGGTAGAGTGGAAGGAGATTCGCTTGTGATTGGAGACGCTTCTGCTTCGAAAGTACTATGTAAGGCTAAAAACATAGTGGAGAGATGAGGATAGCGGCGAGCAAGCAGCGCCATACCGCGTCGATCAAGCCTCGAGGTGCTAAAACATAGTAGAGCGGCGAGGAATAGCGAGATATTCAATTTTATTATTTTCATTTGCTTATTGATAATTTAAAATGTTACCAGTGGCTAAAATTCTGGAGAGTACTGTGTAAGAAGGTGCAGTGTCCTTGAAATTTTCAAAAACCGGAGAGAGTGGGACAAGTTTCATAACCTTTACGAAAATTTGTTGCCACTTCATCTCATAACTTATCTAAAATGTACCGGTTATGGTGATAAATACCTTTTTGGTCCCATAAAATCTCTCTTACATATACTCAATCTATTAATTTTTGGGAATCCATCATTTTCTACAGCGCGACAGAACGACGAAAACAAAATTATTTGAATCGATCTCGCCGCTTGATCTAACCACTCGAGCAGATCGCTTTACTATGTTCACACGTACTTATCTTCACAGGTTTGTTTTGGATGCGATGTCGCGCTGCTTGCTCGCCGTTAGCCTCGTCGCTCCACTATGTTCTTAGCCTTAGTCGTTTGGATAAACGCTGTTACCGAAGGTTGTGAGCATATCACAGTTTTGTACGACTTTTTGTAACAGCTACGTTACGTGATTTTTTTGATATCAGTGATTTAGTAACAGTTTCTGTTCATTCTCTGAATATTACATCACTACTCGCATTGACATAAACCAAAGTATATTGTTTCAGAAAAAAAATATGGTGCGAATATGTTCATTTTTCGAATTTAAAATTTGTACAATAATAAAAGTAGCATATATTTTTATATTTCCAAATCTTCAAACAGAAGCTTTAAAATAGAGCTTACTAATATCCTGTCTTAGACAAAACCCTCCTTGGTTATTTTCTCCTACACCACTAGCAAGCGCTATATCTGACATTTTAAATACCTGGTCTGATACAGACAGCGTTAATTAAAACAGAAAATATCTTTTCAAACTGAAACATATTTAATTAAAGTCTTCTAGCTTGTTCGTATTTTCCCATTTTCTTTCTAGAAACGGCTGGGAAATTGAATTCTTTTTTAAATATTTTTAAAACCCTTATTTGTTCTTAACGTGTTATCTTCAGATAGAACGTTATAAATTCTAATTTAATTCGTAAAACGGCGCCAGTGATGGCTATGAAATGAAAATCGTTGACATTTGATATGTAAAATTATTTGTGAATCATACTGTAGAAATGTAATAGTAATATGCCTTTAAACTGCTTGCTATTATGACATAACTCTAACATTAATAAAAACATGTATATGTATAAACAATTTAAACATTCAAGTAAACATAGTTCCTTTTGCGGCATTGAAAGTTTCAAGATGATGCTCGATGGTAAAACATTTGTGTAGTTTTCAGTCTTGTGGTTCCAGGACTACATTTTCACTTCTTGAGTATCCTTCAGTACTTCATTCATATGCTCTAATTCCTTAGACTGATATGAATATCCGAAACACCAAAATTATAGAAATTAGAAAATTACAACGTAGTAAAGGATTTTTTAAACATTGTAACAAATTTAAATATGTTCGATACCAATTAAATTTCAAGTTACGTAATCAGGGGCGCAATTTATAAATTCATTGTTGCCAACCATGGACATATTCGGCGCCGGACTGACTAACTAGAATTTAAATTTCCCGGTGGGGATTCAGGTGGAAGCTCTGCTATAAAAAATTTCAAGTTGCCACATTTATTTATTTATTTCCTGACATTGTCATTCGTTTTGACACTTTAGTTTTGTATTACGAGTTTTTGGTTTAAATGAATTGTGTTGTGATTAAATGTTAAGCTTAAAAGTTTTTACTAGCAGATCTTGCAGTCGAACATTGTTAAGAAACTCTTTTAGTGCGAAGTGTACAAGACAGCTTAATAGCCGTAAAAAACTCATAGCAACTTTACTGGAATATTTTGAACGACATGCGGTAGTAATGGCCCTTTATGTCCCTTAAACTAGGCTTTTTCTTATTTATTGGCTTAAGTGCTGTTAAGAAGATGAGTTTTGTTGATGTAAATAATAACTGTTTATAAATTTATAATTCATTTATTTTTGTTTCACAAAATATTTTGATTTAAAGAAATTATGTAAAAGTGGGCAATTTTATGCCGGTCAAACTTAATTACGCGACTAAAAGTTTATTTGATATTATGAACTATATGTGTTATAACTTTACTATTTGTAGAATTTGTTTTTTTAAATAAAAACGTATAACAGCGCTTTCAGATGGAGCGGAGCGTCCGCGCGGAGCGTCCGTGAGTTCCATGGGTTTAAATGAACAATTTCACATGGGTCGCGTATGCTCCGTCCGGATGATTTCGTCTGACGGCTCTTGGACGGATCTTAGAAAAAAAAAGAAGCACAAAAACAGCGCGGACGGTCCGGTCCATCTGGAAGCGCTGTCAATCTTATTTATAAGATAATATAGAACATAGATCAAATTTAGAAAATGTGCAAAATGGATAGCACCGTTTATTCTGACGGTAACAATAAAATGTCTTACACATTTTCCTATCAAATTCGTCAGAAAAATATTGTTTCGACAATGAAGATTTATAGCTTTGCGCATACAACTTCAAATATATTGCTTTCCGGGGATTTAGGATAAAGATATATGTATTAATAATAAAAAAAAACTCAAAATTTAAGTGAGGAAAAACAATAAATATATTTTTATATTGCAACTGCGTTATATTCATATTGTAAATACGATGTGATGAAACTAAGTTTTAAGTCAAGCATGTCTTATCTTGTCACAAGTTTAACTGGCTATATAACTTGTTAACTAATTTTTGAATATACAACAATAATTAAAAAACATAGTAGAAAAAAGTACATGTAGAGGGAGAGCTGGATGGTGGCCGCGCAGTTACCATGATATTACCTACGTATGGAATTTTGACAACTGGTAGAAGGGACGGCAAGGATTTTGTTGAAAGCCGCCGCAAAGGGCACGCCCAAAATATTCGAAGTTCTGGTTGAAAATTTGTTCTTTTACTAGCTTAAAAGTTGTAGTAGCCAGTCCAATGACTAAAGAATACAAGGATATGTAATGCCCATATACAGGCTGCAGCAGAATTTGTGATGTTAGACGCCATTTTTTTGGTTGTAACGAATGAGTCATCAGCTGGTCATCAGCGACAATTTTAGCTATTTTTAATAGTTTGCGTGTAGAAACCTTTAATACAATGGTGATTAGTTGTTCAGCTTTCAAATGTAAAAGCCGCAGCGATAAGAAAGAGCCAGGAGTTACGTTGCATAGTCCACTCCACCTTTTTAGCGTTTTTTTAATTGAATTCGATATTTTTGACTTCCTTTCTGCTTTCTGATCACTTTACATAATCCTAAGATATTATTAAATATGTTTCGAAAGTTTCAGAGATATTAATAAATAAATAAAAAAAGAACTGTTTCCAGCCTCTTTTAAAAAAATTATTAAAAATACAAGAAATGTTGTGAAATCAAAACTATACTAAATATTTACTACTGTTGGTCTGTACAGGGTGTACAGTAGTGTTTGAGTGTACACCTTAGTTTGTTGTAGTGTTTTTTTTTAAACTATGACATGAATAGCCAACGATGATTCTGATGCAGCGGCACAACTCTATTTGGACAGGTAGGTTACCAGGTATCCTTGTAATTAAAACATTGTAATTTATAGTATTCCAGATATCCCGCGACAGCGGGACCTGACACAGCCAGATAAGCTCATATTTCGGAAAATACAAAGCAACCTAATTCAATATGGATGTTTTAACAAACCCAGATTAAAAGATATAACAAAAAAAATTAAGCATCTGAGGTAAATGTTTTGGCATCAGTTAACACCACACCAGAGACATCTTGTAGATGCATAGAAGAAGATGTAGGTGTATCTAAAACTAAAAAGTGCTAAGAAAATGAAAACAATTTAAATTCAAACCTTGATCTTGTGCGTATAGTCGAGTTTTGCAACTGGTACATCGACGACATAATATGTGGAAGAGTGAATCATTTTCACAAGAACATCATTTGGTCGAACGAAGCGTATTTTACTAGTACGGGCATCCGAAATAGCTGGAGTTCAAGATTTTTATTTATTCTCTATTTTTATTTTGAAAGTTGGCAATCAAATCTAAAAGCTGCATAAGCTCATTTTCAGTGCAGTTTATGAAAAAAAGTGATGGAAATCAAAATTACCCGGTTGAATTAAATAAAATAAATACTCTTTTAAACTAGGTTGTTTTATGTTAAAAAGCTAAAAAATATATTTTAGTATATAATAAGTCTAGGGTATATTATATTATATTGAAATTGAAAAATGCTTTTTCAATTTCGCCCTGTATTTCAGGAACTAAGAGGGCTAGGACAAATCTGTGTGTACCACCTTGAGTTTCATAAAAAAGTAGCATAGTGATATGAAAACCGCATCTTTGTATCTCTACCCGTAAGAGAGATATCCTGTTACACATACAAAACTGGGACACCCTGTACTTACTTTGCTATAAATATCGAAATCCTAAACTATACAAGGTATTCAAAATTCTAGGTCAAACTTTCTAAAATATAAAATCAGTTTTCTTCGTGTGTTTTTTTTTAAATAAAACACCCTATATATTATTCCTCTGGTAAATGGAGAATTAA